TATATATTAGGGGTTCAACATCATTCATTTACATGGGGTATCCATTTTTTCAAAATTTGTTCTTTCTGCTTTGAGTGTTAATGGCAACTGATAATCAGTGGACCACAACTATATGTGTTTATTTCTGTATTCTGAATTGTATATCATTGATCTGTATTTTTATGTCAATATCATACATTTGATTACATATATAATTGCCCCTTGCTGTTTTGTGGTTCACTTATTGCAGCTTCACTGTACCACGGGTTTTAAAAATATATAATTCTGTATCACAAAGTCTTCACTGTACCATGGGATTTTGCAGTATATAGCTATTTATATGATATTTATGATTTTAAGTATTTTTGCCTAAAATATGTAAAACAATATAAAATAGTTAAAATTTTAATTCAAACATATTAAAAGAATATTAAATGAAAATAAAAAACTGTAAAGTATGTATTTCATCAGCAGATGAATACTGTACTGTACAGAATGGAAATGCGGTACACCACTACTGCCACCCCAAGCCCAGCAGAGCCACCTGGCTGCACGAGTGGACCCACACCGTGCAGGCACTACTTATGGGTGAGGAGGGCAGGTGGCACCACCCCTGGCCCCTGCCCTCACTACAAGTTGGCCTGGGTGGGGCAAGCCATGCAGGCCAGGCCAGGCCCTGGGCTGGGCTTGGCTGCAGCTGCAGCTTGGCTGGGTCCCTTGCCCCCTGCTCCCTGTCCTGCTCCTGCCCTCCATTCCCACCTGCCCCATCCTCCCCTCCTCCCCTCAGAGCTGAGATGCCGATTTACCCAGGCATCCCCCAGTGCTGCCACAGCTGGAAGCTGAGGCTTTGGGAAGAAGCATCTGCCCAGGAAGGTGCGAAGGAGTGTGGGAAGGGTTTATAGCAGTGTGGGAGGGTTTATAAAGCCTTAAACTATATATAAATAATAAAGTAAATATAACACCGCTACTTCACAGATTTTCACCTATCGCAGGCATCTCTGGAATGTAACTCCAGCGTAGGTGAGGGATCACTGTATAGCACTGTCAGTTTTGACATCAGGCATTGCTGGTACTTCAAATTTGTTTTTGACTAATCCTATGCAATTGCACAGGAATTTTATGTTCAGTTTGTCCATTTCCACAAAAAAATTGTGTGAGTTTTGATAGAGATCTGAAAGAATATGCAAATTTGTGTGGGGAATATTACCATACAAACAATATTGTTTCCCAGTCCATGAACAGAGGATGTGTCTTTTTATTTAGTTTCTCCTTAATTTCTTTCAGCAATATTTAGCTTTTGGTGTATAAGGTTTCAGCCACTTTCTTGGTTAAATTTATTGGTAAGCACTTTATTCTTTCTGATTCTCTAAATGTAATAATTATCTTGATTTACATTTCAGGTTTTCCATTGTTACTATATAGAAATGACACTGATTTTTATATTGATCTTATATCTTCAAATGCTGTTGAATTTATTTATTTGCTCTACTAGCTATTGGGTAGATTCTTCAGGGCTTACTTTTAACAAAATTTTGTCATATAAAGACTAAAATGTAGTTCAGTGGTAGAGCACTTGCCTAGCATGAGCAAAGTCCGTGGTTCAATCCTAAAATTTGCATACTGTACAATCTACTTACTTAAAGTGTATGATTTACCAGAATTTTCCATATTAACAGAGTTGTACAAACATAAACAAAATCATATTTAGATCACTTTTGTGATTCCCAAATAACACATTCTACCCACTAGCTACAATCTCCCAATCCCTTCTTCCTAAATCTAGGCAAGCACTGAGGTACTCTCCACATAAATTTTGTGGTTGTGGGAATTTAATTTTTTGCTTAAAATAGACCAGCTCATAACAACAATAAAAATCTTAATATATCAAAAAATGGGAATCCTACAAAGTAAGCTCCCACAATATACTGGAATGAAATTAGAAACCAAAACAGAAACATACTCAGTGTCTGGATTACTATTCTCATTGATGAGCTACAACACAAAACACCAAAAGTTAAAGGAGGAAAAGTCTGTTTTGGCTCCCAGTTTGTAATGGTTTTGTAAAGCTGTAAAGATTTCAACTATGGTTGCTGGATCCAAGGCACGGTGGCTTAGTAGAGGAGAAAGTCTATGGCAGGTGGAAGGCAGCAAGCAGAGAAGTAGCAAAGCAGCAAGCAAAGGACAAGCAACCACATTAGTCCTCTTTCAGGCCCTTATATTTTATCCAGACTATATTTTATTCTATCCTTTACAGTCTATCCTATAGGGCACCCCTAATCCTACTAAGAAATAAGCCAAACCAATCAGTGGACTAGTGTAGTAATCAAACACCCTTAATACTAACATCACATACTTAATCCCAGAATCACACACTCTAGATCCAGCCACCTCTGAAAAGCCACACCACAACTGAATCAGGCTTTGAGAGTACAACTAGACACAAGGCATAATATTTTGTCCCTGGTTCCCCAAAGCTCAAGCACATCCCTTTATGCAAAAGGCATTTAATCCATCTCCATGAGTTTCCAAAATTCCAACAGTTTCAGCAATGCTGAAAAGTCAAAGTCCCAAGTCGCCTCTGAGATTTCAGGCAAACTCATAGCTTTAACCTCTGTAAAAATGAAAAGAAATTTAGATACTTGCAACATACAATGTCACAAGAACAACATTAACATTTCAAAAGACACAAATAGGGGAATACAATGGGACAGAACATATATATATAATATATAATCTCATAATATGTGTGTGTGTGTGTATATATATATATATATGTAATCTCAATTATAGTAACTCTAGCACAATTAGAAATAAATACGGGTGACCCAGAGAAGGTCTTGGTCTTAGCCCTGAGAAAATCTTCAATTTTGTGAGAGGGCTTTGATCCTCCTGGGGTCCTCAAATCATTCCATTTGCCTCTTTTTATTTAGCCTTCACCATACACTCATTTAGGAGATTGCAGGCCTCATCAGCCTGCAGTAACTAAGGGATATTATTAACCCGATATCTTATCGTATTTTTTCTAGAAAACTTTATATTTTGACTAAATGACCAAA